ATCAACTGTACTTGGACTCTGGAGATAGGACTCTGACAGCAATGGCAGTCTAGGAGATTCTCTAGTTGCCATGCATTAAAGCTCTTTCATTAACACTGAAGATCGGAAATCTTTTTTGAGATGCAAACTGTCCTTGCCTGCTGGTAAATTCATGAGCCAAGTTCAAATATTTCAGTAACTGCTCTTTGCTGCTGGGTTTATTTTGTTTCTTCTTCACTGTCTTTTTGTTTTGTTTTTTGAGACAGGGTTTCTCTGTGTAACAGCTCTGACTGTCCTGGAACTAGCTCTTGTAGACCAGGGTCTCAAATTCAGAGATCCTCCTGCTTCTACCTCTGCCTCCTGAGTGCTGGGACTAAAGGTCTGTGACACGACTATTCAAATTATTTTACTTCTTATAAATAAGGTCTTTTAGGAGTATTTTGACTATTTAACCAGATACAAATTGTTCTTTGGTGAAACTGTTTTATAATCTTCTAAAAGACATTTAAGTGAATCGGCAGCCTTTTACAATAGGGAATTGTACTTTGAATCTTAGGATTTACTCTTACAGGTCGGTATGATGTGTACTTCAAAGATCTGTATGCTTCCTCAAACTCAACTGCAAACAGGTAAGGAAGGAGCTGCTTTCAATAACACTAAGAACGCTTCCGAATCTCACAAAGTAGAGTTATGGTTCTCTAGAAAAGATGACTGAGCAAACTTGTCCTTGAGTATCAGGGCAAGGCAGGGCAAGTATACCTCAGTCACTTTATTTTAATGGCAGAATTCTAGAGTTCAGAATTCTTTTGCTAGCTCAGTGAACTGCAGCTTATATAAAGTCATTTGTATCTGTCCTTGGTGAACACAGGCAACTGATTACTTTAAAATAAATAATGGAGCCTTTACATCTAAGATTATTTGATTTTTCTTGAAATGTTCTACAAATTGATGGCCTGTGTTTAAACAAAATATTTTTAATTACCTGTGTGTGCATGGAGTGTACATGTGAATACAGTAACTGCAGGGGCCAGAAGAGGACACTGATCTCCTGGAGCGGGAGAAGATGGGCAGTTGTGAACTCCTGCCGGGTACTGGGAACTGAATCAATCCCTTTAGCAGAGTAGGTAGCACTCTTAACCCGGAGCCACCTCTCCAGGTCCAGCTGTATCTTTCTGGATAAAATACATCTCAGCAGCATTTTTCCACCTTTAGATTTGCTGTAATTATTGCTTTCACTTATCCTATGTTCAAGATGTTAGATTTAACCTCTTACTGGGCAACTAGTGAAAATGGGAACTTAAAATATAGGCAAAATTTCACTTGAATAAAATCCATAGATAGCCAAATTTTTACTACTTTACAATTTCAGAATGATGTAGTTTTCAAATTTATCAGTCAGTGGAATGATAAGCTACCACTTTGCTATCTTCTTTAATGAATCAGTAAGTTAAACTGCTTACAGTAATTAATGCTCTTCTGAAATACAGAAGATAAAGTACCACGACTAGAACACTTATTGATTGCCCACAGTATCCTAGGAATATACTTTTCTGTTCTTTACACCTTTGTTTTAATGCAGAAATCTGTAGATGTAAAGATAGGTTAAAGTAATTAGTGTACTTGATATGAAGGCAGAAAAAAATCCATTCAGAGCATGTGATAATATGATATCTAGGTCAGATATCTATGTTCATGTTATGGAATCCATGATACAAGTAGAAACTCTGCCTATATAACTTAAAGGTTTTGTCTACTCATATTAATTTCTCTATATAGCCATGTTTAGTAAGGTTATAAATGCAAAATATGAACCTAGTAGATATACCTGGAGTAATGAATGAGTATTTCACTTGTAGTTACCAAGATATTTAAATATTTGGATTTCTAAATTTTCAGATAGTTAAACAGTAATTACTGTTTAGAAGGTACTAGGACAGTTTAAGACTAAAGACTCAAAATGGCTATGATCATTTTATCAATGTAATATATTCAAATTCTTCAAAAAATGTCTTGACTCAAATTCGGGTGTATAAAACTGTCTCTCAAAAGTTGATGTCTTACCTTGGCTACTAAAAATAAGACTTTATTTGTAATTGGGGCCTTTGTGGGAATAATCAAGTTAGGATGTGGCTACATAAGATCAAATGAAGTCCAGTAAAAGATCAGAGACTCAGTGACAGGTATGGTCAGACAAGGAAAGTCATGTTATAATAAAAGCGATATGAATGATAAAACTGTACTGGAATGAAAATGATGGCTGGAAACTGTCAGGACTTGAAGAAGCAAGAAAGAGTTTCTCCTAGGGAACCTTTAAGGGAACCCTTATTTTAGAATTTTATCCTTCTGAACTGTGAGAAAATAAATTTTACTGTTGTGAAATTACCAAGCTTGTGGTACTTTGTCACAGCAGCCCTGGAAACTCAGTGTGTCAAAACACAAGAAATTAACAAAGTTAATATGTTCCTGTTTTTTTTAACCTGTTAAAAATATTATTATTATTTTAATCACTTCCCAACCTAACATAGGAAGTGGTCAAGGGTTTTTGCTCTCCCATAGTTTCTTAAAGTCCAAATTTGTAATGTATTATCAATGCCAACTTCTGATTTCTTTGTGGTCCAACATTGCCTGGTCATATCCAAGCAAAATTCACACGCAACTCATCTTGCTGATTATTATTAAAACTAAGACTCCAACTTTCTCCTACCAATGTTCATACTGCAGTTAGTGTACCTACATGACAAATTCTATCCGTTTTATTTTATTTTGGTTTTTACCAGACAGGGTTTCTCTGTATTGTTTTGGAGGCTGTCGGACCAGCCTGGCCTCGAACTCACAGAGATCCGCCTGCCTCTGCTTCCCGAGTGCTGGGATTGTCCGGCTCTACCCATTTTATAAGTATCAATTTTTGTGTCCTTAAGAAAAAAATAGCAAAGATTATCAACAGTAAGATACAGCTGCATTCAGACAATAAACTAGTTACTTAGTATCAATGAATATAAAAGAAATATGATTATTTTATCCTGAGTACTTTGATCCCTTCCTTTCACTTCACATACTTGAATATTACTAGATTGTATTGATTCATTATTTATAAAATATTGTAATTAAAAAGTTTTAGGGGCTGGAGAGATGACTCAGTGGTTAAGAACACTGGCTGCACAGGCTGCTCTTCCAGAGGTCCTGTGTTCAATTCCCAGCAACGATGACATGGTGGTTTTACAACCATCTTATCATAAAAAGCCCCGCCTCTGGCATGCATACCTGACAGACAGAGCACTCATACATAAAAAAAAAAAAAAAAAAAAAAAAAAAAGGAAGGAAGGAAGGAGGAAGTAAGTTTTAGACTTACACAGGTTAACAAGTTTCTGAGCCAAATCTCTTACATATCAATACCAAAAGCAAACTAGTTTTCCTCAAGTTTCTCTGTAGCTAAAAAAGATCATGTAGCACAAACTAACACTTGTTTCTTAAGTGCTTCTGGGAAACCTTCATTAGTGCATTCCTAATTACAAGTGCTATCTATCGCTTTCTAGAATACAAGTCAAGATGAAATCATTGCCACAAAGCAAAGAAGCCTACAGATAAACTGTTAGCTAAAGATAGTAAGTTATAAATATACAAGGAGCCTAGAACACTGATTACACAGTAGATCCACATTACCAGTTCTAGACTTCCTATTCTAGAACGTATCATACAATAAAAATAAGATCCTGTCTGGTAAAGCCTCTGTAGAAGAGATCTGTTACATTCAGTTCAACGCAACCCTTAACTGGAACTCTCCACAATTTGTTCTTCCAGCTCCTTTAGATTTGCCACTCACGCCCCAAAGATTCAAGTGTCCATGTCGTCTTTGTACATCACTTTGCACTAAACTCATTGTTTAGACATTCAATGTTCTAAACCATCAAGCTCTTCTACTAGATGTTGTTTCTTAGCATCTTCACTTTGTGGACTTACTTGGGCAAATTCTCACTATTTAAACTCCACTAAAATATACATTGTTAACTTACTCTTCCTACTACTACACTAATAATGCCTTTTAATTTGCCTAGAACAGGATCTTTACTAGTTTGTTGTAAGTCACTTATTGACTTATCTGCCTCTCTATGTGGGCCAGTATCTCCTTTGTCGTAAGAATGATATCTTCTGTTTACATAGGATCATGTTTGGCACACTGCTTAAATTTACAATAAATATTTTTATGTTTTACATCTATGTATTTATTTTAAGAGGGAGGGAGGGAGGGAAGAAAGCATGCAAGATCTATCTTTTTATCAGAGAGGTTCCAGAGCTCAAACTTAGGTCCTCAGATGTGGTAGCAAATGACCTTACCCATTTTTAATAAAGAACAAAACAGTAAGTGGATTCCCATGATAAACACAGGGGGTCGCATAGCAGGCCTTGATTATACAGCTGAAGATGGCTGTGAGGTACTACCCTCCTGCCTGTGCTTCCTTAGTGCCCGCATCACGGTGTCTAGATTCTTCAACTAGATTTTCAAAACCGGTTGTCTTTTGTAATTGAAAGCAATTAACATCGGGGTGTGGTGGTATATACCTGATATCCTAGCACCCAAGAGAAAAGAGGAGAAGCAGTTCAAGGTCAAAGACTACAAAGTAGAACTGTCTCTTTAAATAAACGGTAATTCACAACTTTTATCTCTGCCTTTGCCCCTTATATTCCCCATTGACCTCTGTTCTGCCTCAATGTGTAACTTGTTAAACACATACGCAAAACTTACAGTGCTAATAATAATTTTTAAAAATCCAATCATCAGCCTTTAATCATGGTGGCTCACACCTTTGATCCTAGCACTTTGCAAGCAGAGGCAGGTGGATCTCTGTGAGTTCCAGGACAGCCAGGGCTATAGATTGAGGTCTGGACTCAAAACAAACAGATAATTAAATTCAATTATCATGTTTTAACTGCTCTCTTTTTATGATTTTTTTTGTAAGACTGAGCACAGCAAATAACCTAAAAATGTTTGAACAGACTATAAAAACCACAGGAAGTATTTATACCTATAGAGGAAGACTGTGGACTAATCAGAAGGTCCTCTTGAACTGGTTCACTTCCGGGCACTGTCTGCTGATCACTCAGTGAGCTCTGAGATGCACTGACAGGCTGGGACACTTCCTCATGGACCTCCTCATCACTTAATCTTTCTACTTTGACCTGCACATCTTCTTCTGTACCTAGAGGCAAGGTAGTTTTTGTGCTCTCACAAGTCACAAAGTCAGTCATTCTTCTGCCTGCCTCAGATGGGCCAGGCATTTCTAAAGTCCGGGTGTTTTCTGCCTGTTTCACTTTCTCAGGCTGAATCCTTCGATCAATTCCAAAAGGGAAAGTCCATGGAAAAGCTAAAGAAGAGTCAACTGGCTGATTTCTATTTTCTGCATAGGAAGCTGAAGAATTCAATACCTGGGGTGAACTTGTTTGTGTGCTACATTTTACAGGACTCTCAGGAGACATAACAATGTAGCTTTTGCGTTTTCTTCGGGATTCCCGGCAAACAGGAATGGTCCTGTCCACAACACTGCACTCCGAAGACACTGGAGAAATACTTCCATCTCGAGATGTAAAATTGCAGTTGGAACTATTTTCTTGTCCAGCATCCAAACCCTTTTCTGGTTGGCTATTAGGTGTATTCCACAAAATACTTGATTTCATGAACTCTGAGCAGGTACTAGCAACACTAAACATTTGCATATAGCTGGCTGCGGCTAGAACATCAATAATATTTTCTGTGTTAATTGACAGAGTGGCTGTGTAAGCGTATTCTAAAAGAGGTATAAAGCCAGTTACTGTAACATGATGCAGATCCAACACATTTTTGTTCTCATCCTCTGCTTGGCCCACAAGCTTTGTTCGAAAGAAATCACTGCAAGCTGCTAGTACCACCTTATGAGCCCGGAAGATTTTGTCCTGAACACGAATAGTGATATCACAAAAATGTCCATCATTTCGTAGCATATTTAGTTTTCCCAGCATTTCCTGGCTGTGGGAAGAGGAACTGTGAGTAAATGTTTTCACACCCATCTTTTTTTTTCCTTCCTCTACGACTGAGGCTCTTCAAGGATGCAATAAATCAGAAATGTCCTAAAAAATATAGAAAATAAAACATTAAATGACAGCTTAATAGTTTTCATGTAGCAGCAACTGTGCCAAATAAAAAGACTAAAAAAATTTTGACAGTGAAAGAAAAAAACTTCAGGCATGGAATGTATTAAAATAATATTTTCTGATCTGTTGTGGTGTCAAATTCTTATAATCCTAGTAAGGAGACTGTCTCATAAGCCTGTGCTGCACAGTAAGTTTGATGCCAGCTGGGCTAGAGGGTAAAATCCTGTGTCAAATAAATAAAATGAATGCACAAATAATAAAAACACATTCTCTAGATATCAACCAGTCATCTATAAATTATTGTTAATGAGCATCATTTAAAACAATTATAGAGTGACACCTTGGTCAGTAGGTATGTAATTATCCTGCTTCTAAACATGAACATACAATAAATAATGTCAGGCAAGCATTATATGATTCTGTCAAATGTTTTCTTCAGATAAATGTATGGGAGAAGGGAAAAAGAAAAGATTTCAAGATTTTTAAAAAGTATGAATACTATAATGATAGGAGCCAAAACTGTTGCCCACCTGGCATCATGATAAAGGATAACATGAAAAGAATCTTAAGAAGGTAAAAGAGCTGAAACCATAGAAATAATGACTTTGACCAAATTCAAACCGCTCTAGACACTTATTCTGTCATACAGATTGGTGTTGCTCAGTCCTCAACGGAGAAGAAAGTCAAGTTAAGATCATTAAAGACAACAACAAAACAAATCCTGTTCCACACATTCTTCCTAAATACAAGTAATCACAGGCAAACACTGTAATGTATGGCTATAAGCCTAGCATTTTGGAGGCAGTAAATTAGGAAAATAACCGTAAGTTCAAGGCCAACCTGACCTACATGGGATACATAGATTGTCTCCAAAAACTCAAAATAACAACAAAACAAAAAAATTGTCCAAACCTCAAACTTAAACAAAAAACCCCAAAGTAATCACAAAGAGATAATACAGTTAGGATTGATCTAGACAGAAAATAACTTCATGGACTTGACAATTATTCTCTTAAACAAACAGGAAGGCTACATATAGCACGTGTTGTCCAGTGCTTGTATGTCAGTAAACATACAAGAGTGATTACTTTGATTCCTAGTATGTGGTTGAGAGCAGAAGATTAACTTCAGAGCAAATGATACTCATGACCCAGGGACCATCTGCATGAACACACATACTAAAAAATAAGAAATCAAGGACTATCATTGGAAAATGTACAACAGAATGCTAAAATGAAACTACTTCAAACTTTATTTGGGTGGAGGTCCCAGATACTGTACCAGCAGTCTTCCACAAAAAAAAGTACAAGGCTACCCAGACAAGGAGGGAGTGGAAACCTTTTTCAACCTAGTGTTACCTCCATCTTCTATGATCAAAGAGCTAAAAATTAGGCTAGGCATTGGTGGCTCACACTTTTAATCCCAGCACTCAGGAGGCAGAGGCAGGTGGATCTCTAGGAGTTCGAGGCCAGCCTGGTCTACAGAGGAAGTTCCAGAACAACCTCCAAAGCAATACAGAGACAAACCAAAAGACTAAAAATTAGAAAAGGAGTTTTAGCCAATAATCAGTGGGTTTTGAGGTCCAAACCCCCATTCAACTCTTTTCTTCTTTCCTGAAAGGAAAAATAGTTACTGCCCTCAACCACATGATCCCAATCAAAGTAACCACTCTTAATGGCCCAACTTTAAAAGCAGAGGTATTTTTTTCTCTTTATCTCAGGCTTATTATACTTGGGAAAGCTCTAAAGAATATGAGTCTGATTTAAAGAACAGCTAAGATGAAGAAACATGACATTATTTTCCAACAGCCAAGAGTGACACAGATAAAACATAGAATGGAACCAGAATACTGGATTGTCATCTTGATTATGTCATATATATAGTACAAATTAGTCTTTGTACTTTAATTTCTGTGGCAGTAAAACAGGGATAACAGAACCTATATCAGAGCTCTGATGCTAATCAAATACATGTTTCAGATAGTAATGAGCAACAGAGAAATTCAGTAGTTGGAACAGTAGTAGTCTCTTTCAGTTCTAAAAGGACCAGAAATTACAATTAGCCTACTGGGATTTTCCTGTCTGTGTCCCCAGTTCTGGGATCACAAGTATTTAACACCATGCCCCAACATTTTATGTGAGTGTTGGGGAGCTGAACTCAGATCTTCATGTTTACAGAACAAGTACTGTGCCACTAAGTTCTCTCTTCTGCCTGTTTCTATCTCATATTTGTTGTGTGGGGACATAGGTTTTTAGTTTTTATAGGTTTATACACACCCCTAAACAACATCTGCCCATAAGACATTACTTACTGCCTATACCAGAGTGCTCATCTTGAAAAAAGGTTAAGACTTAACATCTATACTGATTCCTAACATGCCTTCCACATCCTGCATTCATATGCAGCAATCTAGAAGAGGACTTTTAACTGGGGTTGCCAAAATCTCAAGTCAGGCTGCAGTTATCTGCTGCACAGGATACCAAGACTTAAGTTTTAGAACTACTGCAAAATATCAAGATGGATTAAAAAACAAAACAAACAAAAAACAAACATGGAAAGCTTTACCTTTTCCTAGCCACTGAGGCCCTGGCTATTTATTTCCTCAATCATTCCTGAGTACAGCTAAAAGGAGCAGGAGAAACCAACAGAGGAAGAAATTAACAAAGAATGATTCTGACTTTCCTTACAAGGAAAAAAATATCCTTCCTTCTGTCAACAAAAGGAACATCTCTCAGACTACATAATACTTATGTAGGGTGCAAGCCTCTTCACAATCTTCATATTCCCCTTACCTACTCTCAAACCAGTAATTAAGTTATAAATTTAATTCAGTAAAAACTGCTTTATCAAGCCGGGTATTGGTGGCACATGCCTTTAATCCCAACACTTGGGAGGCAGAGGCAGGTGGCCTCTGTGAGTTCGAGGCCAGCCTGGTCCAGGATAGACTCCAAAGCAATACAGAGAAACCCTGTCTCTATAAACAAAACAAAACAAAAACAACAACAAAAAAACCACACAAACAAAACAAAAACTGCTCTATCTGCAGGCCTGTCAGTCCTCAAGGACATCTCAGACTAACCTCTTCCTTACCCACTAAATTGATGGAAAACTTGCCTGGACACTTTGGGGGCCACCTAGAAGCCTTCCTCCTCTCCAAAACAAAAAAAATGCCTCAGAAGTCAACCAAGTATTCTTACAAGATAACCCACACACCTGCCCCTTAACCATTATCTCCAAAGCAATAATGGTGGACAGCCTTTGTTTCCAAAATAATCCAACAGGGCTCACAAAGCTTTGGGTATCACCTTTATATACACCCTCTGTATCACCCTCAATCTTCAGGGAAAATTGAAAAGGTCCATTTTGTCTTAAAACACCTATCAGGCTGTCTCTGTAGCTTCAACACTGCCTTTCATTTTTTATGACTGAGAGGCATATGTGATGGTGAGTGTTGTCAACTTGACAGACTATAGACTTAGGAGATGGAACTTTGGGCATGCTTGTGGTAATTATTCAGGTTTCACAGAGGTGGGAAGTCTTGCTCACTGTGGAATAAGCCCTTTTGTAATAGTAATCTGTCATAGCAACAGGAAAAGAAACAAAGATAACATAATGCGTAAGCCCTTTCTCAAGTTATCCCACCACAGACCTTTTCTCTTCAACACTAGCATCCCTATCAAACCCTGTCTTAGGAAATGGACAGCTCAGTCTTTACAGCTTGCTTCTTAGAAGCCTGATCAGGGAGCATGCTGGTCAACATTTCCTGGCACCATCCTCATATCTCACCCTCCATCTTAAAATCAGGCCAGGAGACTGTATCCTCTTAAAAGGACCTACAAGGACAAACAACCTTTTCAACCATCGGTAGGGTTATTCTCACCACTCTCACTGCCGCTAGGCTTGCTTTCAGGATTCCTGTCTCAGATCTAGCTCAACTCAAGTTAATTTTTCACACTATACCAACAAATCTACAGGTGACCTGCTCCTCTTCAAAAAGGTAAATGCCCATGTCTGAAAGCGCAGGAAAGGTCTTTATCCCATAAGAGACTTTCTGCTTGTGTATTACTCTAAATACTCAGTAGTTTGCCTACTGCTCAGGCTACTGAGAATGCCCTAACTCTAGCCTCCAACAAATATCTTCAGAGAAATTTCTATGATTAATTATACCTCCAAGAAATTTAATCTTGTACTTAAAATCTGCTGTGTGGACTGGAGCAATGGTTCAGCAATTACAAGCACTGGCTGCGCTCTTCTAGGGGACCTGGATATAGTTCCTAGCACCCACACAGCTCACAATTTCAGTAATTCCAGAACTAGTAGACCTGATGTCCTTTTCTGGCTTTCGGCACGCCATTTAGTGCACACACATACATGCAAACAATATGCCCATACACACAAAATAACAAAGTAATAAAAAATAAAAACTGCTGACTATGGCTTTTCTTGTTCCTTTCCTGGGTCAGTGTGTGATAGCCTCTGTATTTCCAGCTGGGTGGTAATCATTTCTTTTGTTTACAATATGACTTTGACTATCTCTACCATCCATCCTAGAGTTTTTCTTTTGTTCACTCTAGGAATTCTGCGACCTTTGTTATCATAACTTTACTCTGTACAAAATCAATCAAAAGGGTATAAGAACATGAACTACACAAAAACACTAGTTACAATTGTTGGGTTTGTGTTCTCATTCCCTGTCTACAAGACTCATCCTAGGTTAGAGAAATGGTTCAACAATTAAGGGCATTGTGTGTAATATTTATTCATGCATGCCTTCATTTATTCCACAGGTATTTTTTTTGCCTTTTTTAAAAATTGAGCTACATATTTTTCCTCACTCCCCTTCCCTTCCACCTCCCCACCCACCCCACACACTCCCAATTTACTCAGGAGATCTTGTCTTTTTCCCCTACCTAGGCAGATCCATTTATGTCTCTCTCTTAGGGTCCTCTTTATTACCTAGGTTCTTTGGGGTTGAA